GAGTAATTTTTCCAGTGCCTTGTTGAATCTATGCACAAAGGATTAATGCAGTTCTGAAGGCAAAAGGGGGTTTAACCCGGTGCTAGCAAGGTGTACCTAATAAAGTGGCCAGTGAGTGCATATGATGTTACAAGAGTATAAATGTATAAAAATATGTATATACAACTTTATAAGATGTAGTGCAAGTTATATGATGTTAAGGGTAAAGGGTAATATCATACAAGGTGCAGCAGTGTAGACATTGACGCACTATACAATGCGTATAAGGTGCATTATACAGTAAGTTATGTAGCGGCTGCAAGTTACATAATTACAGTATCTTAAAAAATGGTACATTTAGTGAGTAGGACTGTGTGCGATTTTAAGAAAATATCTAATTGCAGAGTTTTTTTTTGGCATTTCGATTTGATTTGTGATTTAATGTTGTAGACGAGATACAGCTCAGTAATCTGTATTGTAACTTCTTACTGCTCAAATAAAATGATACTAGCTTTCTGTAAACAAGTTCAACTTAAATTAAGATGATAGTGTAGCTTATTATACAAAAAAAAAACTATTAAAAAAGAACACTCAGCAAACTAGCATGGCTGACAAGTGCCTTTTTGTAATAATTATTTCAGAAAAAACAATAATCAAAATAATTATCGTAGATGCTACTCGAAATATCACGACATTCAACGCACAGCTGTGGCACTGCAAAATGGCTAAATATGTGCAAGACAGAAGTGTATATCTACTATTCAGCATCAAAATGAGGTTTTTAAATCCCTTTTTGGTCGCTGCATTAAAAGGCACCGTGTCTTTAGTGAGGTTGGTTATTATGTCTTTCTGCCTTTGTGATGGTTTTTCATATCGTGTAACGGCTGCAGACAACTCTGAAATTGTACTTTGCTGTTACTTGCTACTAGATTGAGTGTCACTGGCAGTATTTTTAGTTGACTTTTTAGCAAGACATACATATGTTGTGGTACTTTTTTAGGTGCTAGTTGTTGTTTTTCCTCGCGCTGTGGCAACAGTTCTTACAAATTACCTGTTTTTGTTTGGTGTCTGTGACTTTGAACCCAAAATATTCCCATATTACCAACGTGCTGTTTTTTTCTAAGACATGAATTCATCTATTAAAGCTTCTGAAGCGGTAGACACCATGATCCAACTTGTCAGTGCTTTCCTGTTTGTTCGTTTTAATTGGTGGACATTCTGCATAGTTTGGTCGCACAATTCTGGTTGGGCAGAAGAAAAGAGGGCTCACTGAACTGTCTAGTTAGACTGTCACACACAGACGACAGTCACACATTTGCTCTGGGTTGGGGAAATTACATATTCCATGTTGTAGCCTCTTGAGTTTTAGCTATTCGCAATGTTTCAAATTGCGGTTGCGATTAAATTTCGATTAATTACACAACCCTACTAGTGAGTATTGTTCAACGGCTGAGGTTTGAGTTCAGTAGGTTGAGACCCAAGGGAAATGAATGAGATTGTATAAATTAATATGGCTTAGCCACTTAAACAGAAAGTTACAAATTGTTATGAGATTTTTGATTGAATAATACCATATATAAACAGCAAGAAATAAATTAATTCAAAGCATTTATAAAACCAGAACCATTTTGGATATATTAAAACACTTAATTCATTCATTCATTTTCGGCTTAGTCCCTTTATTAATCTGGGGTCACCACAGCGGAATGAACTGCCAACTTATCCAGCATATGTTTTACGCAGCGGATGCCCTTCCACTGGGAAACACCCACAGACTTTTATTCACACACACACACTACGGACAATTTCAGCTTACCCAGTTCACATGTACCAACTATCGTTGGACTGTGGGAGAAACCGGGCACTCGGAGGAAACCCACATGAACACGTGGGGGAACATGCAAACTCCACACTGATATGCCAAATGACCCAGCTCGAACCAGTGACCTTCTTGCTGTGAGGCGACAGCACTACCTACTGAGCCACCGCGTCTCCCCTAAAACACTTAATTTAACAACATAATTATAAAATACCAAAATATTAATTTCATGTCTATTGTAATCTTTTTAGATTAGTTTAAACCGGGATATACATACACTGCATAGAAATAACACAGTATACATAAATATACAAGTGAATATAAACTATACACAGCAGAGGGATAAAGCATGACTTCATCTTATCTAATGAAGTTGCCTTGGAGCTCAAGCCAGCCTTTGTGTTTGAGTTATTAATTACAGCGCAGCTTGAGTCACTTAGCGTGGTTAAATTTACAAGCAACACCTCTCAAAACTACATCCACCTTTAACTGCTTCTCAAAGCTGCCGTCACTCCCCACTCCATTAGTGCAGTCTGGAGTTCAGTATTAAGCGCTCCAAAAGCCTCTTCTGGAAAGGGAAATATGTTGGAGTCATTGTGCTGTGGCTGATAAGAACTGACATGTTTGGGATGTGTTTGCAGAAATATAGGGTTTGCTTTTAGTTCAGGGGCAACATGGGAGTCTGGCACGGCGTCCCTGAGGGGGAAGAGCTCTAATGCGCACACACATACACACATACACACACACACACCAATCACTGACTCACTCAGCTCCAACTTAACCCAGGCCTCACACATACAAACACGGGCAGCACGTGCCTCCAGTCGGGCCTCAGTAATGCTGCATCGAGATGTTAGTTATGCCTCGCTGGAGAAAGTGACGAGAGCTGAGGGGAAACCTCGCACATAACATTGGAAAACTGCTCTCTTTAACTTGCTCTTCACTAAGATTATGTGTTTTTCAATTATAAGAGGCACAGATAACGTCTACTTTTGATTTTAGGTATAAAAATTGTTGCTCCAGATCAGCCGTGGTTTATTTTTACTTGAATTTTTAAACATTGTCGTTTGCTCGTTGCAAATACAGTAGTACAGTAGTCTATGTCGGCTTCTGTACCTTTAAGATGTCTGTATGTAAATGGCCTTTGTTTGAATTGATTAACATGAGCATATCTGTACTGTATGATGTCATTCATGGGGTAGGATGTGTTTGGTGCTAGAGAGTAGGTTTGATATGTAAATGTAGGATGGTGAATGATAATTAACTAATGCTCAACTCCATCTATCCATTTGTTTATTCATCCAGTTATTCATTTATTAATTCCATCCATCCATCCATCCATGTTTTGTTCAGTCTGTCCGTTTATCCATCCATCCATTTGTTTCTCCTGTCTATCTATCCCTCCATCCTTCTAGTTGTTTCTTCTGTCCAACCATTCCTCTATCCGTCTAGTTGATTCTTCTATTCATCCATCCATCTGTCTAGTTCTTTCTTCTGTCCTTCCATTAATTCATCCATCCGTCCATCCGTCGTTTCTTCGGTCCATGCATCCATTCTTCCATCCAACCATCTAGTTGTTTCTTGTCCATCTCTCCTTTCATTCGTCAATCCATCCAGTCGTTTCATGTCCTTTCACCCGTCAATATATCCAGTTGTTTCTTGTCCATTCATCCATCCATCCAACCAGTTGTTTCTTCTGTCCATCCATCCGTCCATCCGTCTAGTTGTTTCTTCTGACCATTTAACCAGTTGTTTCTTCTGTCCATCCACCCAATTGTTTCTACTGTTCATTCAATTATTCATCCATCCTGTTATTACTTGTCCGTCCATCCATTCATCCATCCATCCGTCCAGTTGCTTCTTCCGTCCATCCATTTATTTATCTGTCCATCCATCCATACAGTTGTTTATTCAATCCATCTATTCATTCATCCATTCATCTGATTAGTTGCTTCTTTTATCCATCTGTTCATCCATCCAGTTGTTTCTTTTGTCCATCCATCCAGGCATCTCTCTATCCATCCATCCATCCATCCATCCATCCATCCATCTATCCATCTATCCAGTTGTTTCTTCTGTCCATTCATCTAGTCATCAATCGATCTGTCCATCTATCCATTTCTTCCATCCATCCATTCTGTCCAACCATCCTTACATCCATCCATTCTGTCCAACCATCCTTACATCCATCCATTCTGTCCAACCATTCGTCCATCCATCCATCCATTCTGTCCGACCATTCGTCCATCCATCCATCCATTCTGTCCGACCATCCGTCCATCCATCCATTCTGTCCAACCATCCTTACATCCATCCATTCTGTCCAACCATCCGTCCATCCATCCATTCTGTCCAACCATCCGTCCATCCATCCATTCTGTCCAACCATCCATCCATCCATCCATTCTGTTCGACCATCCTTCCATCCATCCATCCATTCTGTCCGACCATCCGTCCATTCATCTAGTTGTTTCTTCCATTCATCTCTTCGTTCATTGTTCATTCAGTCTTTTATCTTCTGGTTATTTGTTCTTTCTATTCATCATTTGTGTTTGAGCTGTCCATCTGTTTTTAATTCAGTCATTTTGTCATCTATCATTTGTTCAATCTATTTGTTCAGTTTTTACTTCTAAATAAATCAATTGTTTGCTCTTAACATCTGCCAATTTTGTTCATTCTGTTTTTATTTGTTTGTTCTACTATTTATTGTTTGTTTGTTTGCTTTGTCATTTGTTTATTGTTTGTTTGCTAATTCTATCTATATATCAATTGTTTGTTCACTCTACCATTTTATGTTCTACCCATTTTGTTTGTTTGTTCATTCTACCCCTCTTTGTTTTATTTTTGAATAGTTTTTTTGTTTGCTTTTTTATTTTACAGTCTTTCAATTATATTTCTTTTTTCTCTCATTCTAGTCATCTGATTGATTGATTGTTTGTTTGTTGTCATCTATCATTAGTTCTTTGTTGTCTTTGTACAGTTGTTTAATCCATTTGGTGTATATCTATTTGTTTGTTGATCATTCTATTTAGTCGTTTAGTTTGTTTTGCATTTATCGGATATTGATTGTTTATCGTTTCCTCCATTTATCGTTCCAGCTATTATTCTGTTATTCGTCATTGTGTCTATTGTTCTGCCGATGGATCTATTGTTATATACCAAATACATAAATATAAAAATATATATTTTTCTTCTTCAACAGCATGTCGGTCAGGCTTCTACAAGGCCTCAGCTATGGATGCGTACTGTGTCAAGTGTCCTCCACACAGCTACTCTCACCAGGACAAGGCCTCTGAGTGTGTATGTGAACGAGGTTTCTATCGAGCAGAATCAGACCCTCGCTCTATGGCCTGCACAAGTAAGCTGATACATTAATAAAGCATTAAAACCTTAAGGGTGCATTATTAGTGATGTTTAGTAAGTAAGATTATACCAATGGGGAAAAATATATGGTTGTGGAATATGTAATAGTAAACAGCCAACATGGAAATTAAAGACAATTAATAGTGAGACCTGGTCCCTATATTATTGTTACCTGCTTTACTTCTGTCATCAGGACCACCTTCAGCACCAGGTAACCCGATTTCGATGGTGAACGAGACAGCGGTGACTCTGGAATGGAGTCCTCCCCGAGACAGTGGTGGACGTGGAGATGTCAGCTATAGTGTCCACTGCAGAAAGTGCTCTGGCGAAACAGGGGCGTCAGAGAGGTGTGTTCCCTGTGGCAGCGGCGCACACTTCAACCCCAGACAGTTCGGCTTGACGCACCCCAGAGTTCTGGTCACTGAACTGCAGCCACACACCAATTACACCTTCAGCGTTGAAGCCCTGAATGGAGTCTCAGATCTGAGCCCCAGTCCACGTCAGCTGGTGTCTGTCAACGTCACCACCAGTCAGACAGGTGAGATGTCACACTGTTACATTCGGTTTCTTTAACAACAGGTTTTCTGTCTGTCTTACTGTAAGTTACTGTCAGAGTGCTTGGGTTTGGTATAAGCAGAGGTCAGAGCCGGCTCTAAATGGGTGGAATTTAAGCCACAAGATGACTGGGGTCTGATTTCTAAAATCTACGTAAAAACCTTCCCAAAAGTAAACGTACACTAGAATAAATTGTAATTTAGTTGTTAATGATTACGGCATCATTCTATAGTTTGAAGTGGTTTATTTAAATCAATATATAAGTTACATATGTTAGAGTTTACATACAGCTGCCTACATTCTCTCCTCAAGTTAGTTTTTTAAAGATCACAACATTTTCGGCATATTTCTAAGACATATTTCTGTCCGTTTTGTGCACACGCCACATTTACAAATGAATCCCCTGGTGCTTGTAATTTGTTTATTTAATGTTGTATGTGACACAGAGTCCACCTATGGTGTTTATTAAGATCTTAACCAATCTGAAACCTACATATTAAAGTATCCTATTGTGTTTTATTAACATCTACACAACGCCGATCCCTGCACTAAAACATACTTGGACTGCTTAAAGGGGACCTACGATGCCCCTTTTTACAAAATGTGCTGTATGTGAATTTTCAGCTCAAAATATCACATAAGTAACTCTTTAAAACTGCCCCTTTAAGACTTTGATCCTAATTGTTCCATTTTGGTGACTGTTGCTTTAAATTCTAACAAGACTGTGCTCCTAGACCTCTTTTCAAAAGAGGGTGAAGATACAAATGCCTATGTGTCAGCATAGTGGCAGATTCAGATTATTTTATTCCGTTGACCATTGAGTTTATATTTAAGAAATTAAAAAAGCTCATCTTTGTATAGTATCATATAAATAGTTCATTCATTAATTTCTGCAACTTATATTTATTTGTTCATTAGATTAATGTCTCTAAATATTTTAAAATGAAATTCAGTCCCAACAAGGATTTTTTGTGTGTAAATAAAAGACGTTTAAAGATATCCAAACAATGATCTTCTGGCTAAACCTAAGCTAAGTTTCCTGTCTTTTTGATGATTGGTCTGTTTTAATTGTTTTAAGTCGTCACTTAGCCTTAATTTAGCCTTCTATTAATCAAGACGTCTATATTTAGATGTCTATTAGACGTCGTTTAAACACAAAATCTTTTAGTGGTTTAGCTGACTTAATTCCATATTGTTCAATACTATATAAAATATGAATGTAAGAAAATATGAATGTAAGAATTAATAATTTTGTTAACTGATATGATTAAAATATTATATTAAATTCATATTTCTCTAAATATGGTTTCATTTGCTTTGTTCTGATTATAATTATTATAATATAATGCTATATAAAATAATAATGTAGTAATTCATTGTTGTGTGTCAGTTCATTTATAAACTGAAAGTTCTGCATCTAATATTTATTTTTTAATGATTAATTATTTATTTATTGTGAAATGAGTAATTGAAATCGATTCAGATTGCAATGAAAATTGTTATTTAAAATCAATAATATGGTCTAATAGCATCTAAAATATGTATGTTGCAATTTACGTATAAAGGATTTAATTTAAGCATAATAATATATTTAAAAAATATTGTTGTGTTAGTAAACATGTAAAACTTTTCATTTTTAATATGAGTAATTTCAAGTATAAATGAAAATCTAAAATATTTTCTTTTATATCAAGTGGATATTTTTATGTTAGGTTTCTTCAAAATATCAAGCCTTTTGTTAAATATTTTTTCAAGGACATACAATATTTCTTCCCTTTTTGCCTTTTTTAATTGAATTGGTACCAATAAACTTTGAATGAAACATGACACACGTAAGTCTTTCTCTCTGTCAGCAGGGTCAGGGTTATGTAGTATTTAATGTCCTTCAGCAAGGTAAAAAAAAAGTCCTCAGTCACACATTTTTACACCTGTGCTCTTTAAATCTCTTGAATTTTATCTTGAATTTTAGTCTCCTGCTTTGGAATTTTACAGGGCTGTATATATATATATATATATATATATATATATATATATTTAATCGCAAAATTGTCTGCAAATTTCTGAGAATTACCACCACAAATAATTTTTATCGCAAATAATAAAAATATTGTTAAAAAGTGGGGCGTCTGTCTAAATATTATATATTCTTTGGGGTAACACTTTACAATAAGGTTCATTAGTTAATGCATTTACTAACATGAACTAATCATGAACAACACATGTACAGCATTTAATAATCATAATTAAACATTTACTAATGCATTATTAACATTCAAGTCCATGCTTGTTGACATTAGTTAATGCACCATTAGTTATCATGAACTAATAATGAACTACTGTATTTTCATTAACTAACGTTAACTAACATGAACAAATACAGTAGTAAATGTATTGTTTATTGTTTGTTCATCTTAGTAAATGCATTAATTAACATTAACTAATGAACCTTATTGTAAAGTGTGACCTTCTTTGGTTTGATAAAAATGTATGTAATATGAATAATATAGTACAATATCCATATAAAAGTTTAACATAGTAATGTGTAGTTTTATATAAAATAATTATTACAATTTCTTCTGCAACTAATATTTATTTTTCTTTTTTTTATTTATGTTTTTATTTATTTGATTAGGTTATTTATAATTTTAGTTGTTTTGGCGTGCTTACAAATGGTATAACAATAATCATAACAAATTTATTGAGTTATTTTATAGTCTTGTATCAAGTTATTATTCAGTATATTTGCAGCTAATGGTTCTTTTATTTAATCAATTTAATGCGTTTACTTTGTTTTCAGTCAAATTGTTATATATATATCATTATATTGCAATGAATAAATAAAATATAAAATATATATACAATATAAGAAAAATGTTTGTTTAAAATATGCAGTATAAAGGAGCCTTTTATACATTAAAAATGTCATTAAATAATTTAAAATGTGCATTATTTTTCATCATTATTGTTATCATAGAGCTGTTGCAAGTGGATGCTTGAATATGAGTGTCATTGACATCTGAATACCAAACCCTTTGTTCTACACAATAATAATTTTTACAAGGACATGCAATATTTATTTATGCAGTATCCATTTGTTTTCCCTTTTGTGATGCAGATATTTCATAACTCGTTCTCTCTGTCAGAAGGATCAAGGTTACATAGTACTCAACGTCCATCAGCAATTTCCCAGTTAATAAAATCCCAAGTCACACAACTGAACTCTTAAACCTCCGAATTTTTGTCTCCTACCTCCTGCTTCAGAATTTAACACTGCTTGCTCTGTACTTCAGTGGCTCCTCTTTTTCTATCCCTGACCTTTAAACCTCTCTCAGTGTGTGTCTGTCGGCCTGTCATTGGTGGAGAGGAGATACAAGCTCTCCTGATCCAGCGGTTAACTGTGATTCAGGCCCTCAGAGAACAAGAGACGGGCGGCGTAATGAGAAGCCTGAGAGGAGACTCACCCTGAATGCCCACATCAACAGCCCCTCACTCTTATGAGAGCTGACATGCCTGTAACCGTGGAAACGCCAGCCTGGGAGGGGCCTGCTCGAGGTCTGGGTGGCCACGATTGGTCAATGTTTTGAGTGCTTGGCCTCTGGTCTGTGCTGCTTGAAATATTGAAGAGTGTCGAGAGGAGGCTTTCCGGGATGATGTAGAGCCTCCGCTTGCATGTTTTGCATGATGTGGATATTGACTGATGTTTCGGAGCACGTCTTTCATCGGCAGGTGTAAGAAAGATGCTAGACAGAATATTTATAAATGTAAATTGGGAGGAAGTGTGGAATGATGAATGCGTTGCGTAAAGCTGATTTATGGATATGAAAGGAATAGGTGTTTTAATGCTACATATATGAATGGCTAATGGAATACAGTTGACGCAGGATGTGTTTGTGTTGGTTTTCATTCTTAAAGACTACAAAAAGATTCTTTAAGACTACAAAAAGTCTACAAACTACATGACTAAGATTACAAAAATGCTAAAAAAGACTACAAAATGATTTTTGATGATTCATTTCTAAATAAAATGTGTTATTTTGACTGTTGACACCGCCATTAAAATTCTGCAAATACAAAGTGAATTGAATCTAAAGCATACCTGTCAACCCTCCCATTTTTCCCGGGATTCTCCTGTATTTTACATTTCTATCCTGCTTTCATCCCGGAATGGTATTTCTTCCGTATGTTCAGTCTTTCTATGAAGGGTGGCAATAAACATTAAAGAGCAAATCCTCCTTGAACACAACCCATACTGCCGAACCACCAGGGGACGACCCTTGCTCTTAAAGCCTGATTTATACTTCTGCGTCTGGTGACCAGCGTAACCCACTGCGCAGGCAACGCACGTAGCTGTGCATTTATACTTCTGCGCGCTGTCTCTGTCGGTCTGCATTAACACTTCCGAAACGCTAGTTGGCAGTGAGGTGTAAATGTTCCTCTGTGTCGAGTTTCTTCGCTGCTTTATTGCTTTTCCTGAACACTTCTGGGATGTACAAGTGGCTCAAACTCCATCATTTTGAGGCAGGAACCAGCGGACGTGCAACAACTTTAACTATGAGGTAAACACAAAACAAAACTTTCCATCCGGAGCTCCTTCACGGTACTCCACACTCCACAGCGTCAGCGCTACCAAGCCGACCAATCACAGAGCTTACGCGTCGTTGCGACGTGTAGTTACATATTTTGAGAGGTGCACGTCAGTGACGGTGACGGCCACGGCGAAGGGCTATGCGTCAGCGCCGTAGCATTCGCCGGTGTTTGACGCAGAAGTATAAATCAGCCTTAAGTGTGAGTCTGTTCTGTGTTTTATTTTATTTAGCATGGAAGCACTTGAAATAATTATAAAAATGGCGGGATTCCCTTTTTTTATTACAGGTGCTGTCTCCCCTTTTCTACCATCCCCAATGCAGTCAAATAGCAGTGCGTGACTGTCAGACAGGCTCTATATAGTGACAAATAGACTTCTGTACACACGATTTGAAGCGAAAGTCTAGATTTTGGGTGCGTGTTTGAACAGACATATATACATAATAATAATAATGATAATAATAATAATAATAACATCTAAAGATGTCGATCTTGTTTTTTTTTTCTAAACACAACTAATTTTATCCTAAATGAGCATAGAAAGTTTGGAAAGCAGTCGAATGCTTTCATTATAATGTTAGATCTCTGAATTTTTAAAATGACACCTGTATTATTTAATGTAATCAATGGAAAAATCCAAATAAATGAGATTCATTCGCTGCTCTTTAACCAGAATGTGTAAGTTATACAGTGAAGAAAAGATTTAGAAGAGATTCGATAGCGTGATTCTGTTTCTTTATAGCTATTAATTTTAATAAGCTCATTTATTTGCTGCTAATGTATACTCCTCATTTTTCTTTTGTAAATAATAATAAAACATATTACTGACTGTTTTCCTGTTTGTTTACAATGAAACAGCTCCAGAGGAACATATTTAGTAATTTGGGCATTTATTTGGGAATTTATTTAGGGGGGGATATCCCTTATTTTCACATCCCAATGTTGACAGATATGACCTAAAGTGACTGTGCAGACATTTATAATGTTACCAAAAATATCACAAACTCAAATAATTGCTGTGCAATCATTTAAAATTTTGTTCTGAATGAGCACTGTGCTGCGTTCGACAGATTGCACTATTATGTTTTTCTCTTTTTCATTATTTTATAAACTATTTTAACACGTTTTATATTTTTTTAATTACTTTTATTATTTGTTTTTATTTTCTTATACTTGTCTCTTTTATTCATGTTTATGTAAAGCACTTTGAATTGCCACTGTGTATGAAATGTGCTATATAAATAAACTTGCCTTGCCTTTTAATATCAAACTTGGCTTACAACAATTATAGAAAACAATAAACAAGAAGCATTTGAAATCATGTAATGTAACTTTTACAGCATGCACACTTGACATACTGATGTAAGATTTATTCATGTTTTTAATAGCAAACTGTTCTGTGCATTTGCTCAGTCTCAGTGATGGAGTAGAACAGCACATATATAGTCTTCTTATATAAAGTGTACATATTAGTTCCTAAATGGTTGTAAAGTTTACATTAAAGGGCTAAATGCGGTCCTTTTATGTACAAACATGTACCATTTGAAATGGTGCCATTACAATGACAGATTTTGTGCTTTTAATTTTGACAGTAAATAAGCAAACACACCAGGTTTTACCTAAGAATTGATTGATCTTGACCTTAGAAGTGATGTTTTATAAACAAATTTTGGGAGGAGCCTTGGTCAGTCTTTAATGAGGCTAATTCATCAGACAATGATTCCATTATCCAATCACCTCACGACCTAACCCCAATAAATATTTAAGCACGTCATACCTCAGTTTTCTCTTGACTTCAGCATCCCTCCACCACCCCAACTCCACACTATCAAAGCCGATACCTATTAAAATCTGAGGGAGGAGTGTTCTGGACAATGCGCTCGGACCCATCTCTCTCTATCCTGATAAGGGGAATAGCACAAGTTAGGGTGTCTTCCCGAGCTCAGAGCCCTCTCCCCGGACAGCATGGCAAATACGCATAATCTATTTAGTCAAATGTCTGTGAGTGTGAACTTGTGAAATGCATAACAATTCAAGATGACAACACATGCAAAAATTGTGAGTGTAGAGTAACATCTCAAAAAAACTCTTATGTCTCTACATGGCACCATTTGACAAAAGTGCTCTTTAGTACATAAAGTGGTTCCCCTGATTACAAGTCAAGTGCTATTTAGCATAATTTCTTTTAGAGTGCACTACTGTCCTTGTGTAAATTCATTATATATGTGTTCAGCTGTCTATCTCACCTGCTACACCATCTCCTCTGATATTTTAAGCTGCTTTTCTTGATTGCAGAGAGATAAAGTCTGTATTTTTTTCTATCTGTGTACCAAACACATGCCGAGATATCAGTGAACGGCTGTTTGTTTTTCACTTTCAGAGTGTTTGTGTGTACAGTTAGCGGTGTCACTGTCAGGCCGATCAGAGCGGTGTACTCACACAGCTCATTAAAGAGCAAACCGCCAGCTCCTTCATTCATCACCCGCTGCCGGGGCCCAAAAACGGAGGCCCTCGTTTGTACTCACAATCTGACACCATCATTAGCACCTCTGTCTCTCTCGCTGTCTCCGCTCGGGCTGCAGGGTGTATGAATAGACGAGCTGAGGTGCTCTGGCTGCGTGCCAATGCCGTAGTACGGGTGAAAATGACTCCGAACTGCACACGCCGAATAATTTATCACTCCCAAAAAAAGACGAGACCGCCCTCTCATACTCTTTAATTAGAACTGCAATTAATCCTCCTCTTTTACATGGAAATCAATCTCAATTCATCTCACTCTTTTTCTCTTTCAGTGAGCGTCATCTTAAAGGAAAGGAAGGGCACTGATAGTGTGACGCTGGCATGGCAGGGTCCAGAACCTGTTGACGGGACCGTGGTGGAATATGAAGTCACCTATTATGAAAAGGTTAGATGTTTTTTTTTTCTTTCTTTTCTTCAGCGCAGTTGAATCTGGGTGACCTTTTGGCCCCGTGTGAGTCCTCATCACTGTGATTGGACATATGGCAGCTCACTTTTATCGTACCCCGGGGAGAGACTGTAATGTTAACACAGACATGCTTCATTCGCTTCCAATTAACATTCATGGATGTCCTGTGCGCCAAAAACCTTCAAGGCTGTCACATTTTTAGACTTGATGACTTATTATTGTGCTCAACAAATCATTTAGGCTTTTTGTTTTGACAGGCAGCAAAAAACACCTTTTTTTCTGCTTTTAAATGAGATATTTAGTTTTTGTCTTTGAATTTTTATGAGAATTTTACCTACTGTACATGCAGTTTAAAACAAAAATCAAATAAATTGAGTTTTAAAAGAGTCTTGCTGTGAAAGTAAGGTCAGATCTGATTTCATGTGGTTTGTTGTCATTTGTAGTTTGCTGTCATTTTGAGTATGTGATGTTATAGAGTGTAATGTTCTCTAATAAAATAAATAAATATAATAAAACAATCTAACTAAACCACAACTCACTAAACTAACTAACCAAAGAAAAATGCAGAAACAAAATCATAATCTTTAGCGTATGCGTCTGTTGACTAAAATTCTTGCCTATTCCAGAACATAATTCCAGATGTGACAACTCCTCTATAAACTAACCAACACAAAAAACAATGCTGCTTAAAATTACTAGAGTTCTCAAAGTACACACTGTCAGCCATTAGCAAAACAAGAGTTTATCTGATAATCCAATTTTCATGAAGATTGTTCGACTTCCCAATAATAAAAAAAAAAAAAAAAAAAAAACTAATACTACTAATACTTCCCTTCTTAGACTTTACAGACCTGAAACTTGCCTATAGCACTTATTCATTGTTGCTCTTGGTTGTGTAAATTGCTTCCTTGTCCTCATTTGTAAGTCGCTTTGGATAAAAGCGTCTGCTAAATGACTAAATGTAAATGTAAATGCTAAATTGAGCTTTACAAGCTTATCTAATAAGTAGATCACTTAAAACGAGTGGTAAACTACACAACAACAGGAACAAAGTGAGGAGCTGAACAGCGTAAGCGAACGCCTTTTATACGTGGCGGACCAACTCCTGATAGGTGCACAGAATGTGTCATAATGGTGATTGACAGCCTTCTCAACCAATAGTTGCACACTTAGGACAGGACAGAGTACACAACGGAGGAGAGAAGGGAATGCAAAACAAAAAACAAACACAAAACACCACAAAACATACATGAAACGTAAAAGTGCTGAATGTAGGAAATAGAAAATGATGCACATCCGAGGTGATAATGTGGACATGATGCTCATAATTGCACACATTTGATTGTTCATCAGCCAATCAGAATAAAAAAGAAACCGAACATTATAATATACGAACGGTATATTAGACATGGGGGCTCGTCTGGGATGGTAGTAAGGAAGCAAAGTTCTATTCAGTTAAACCTCACTCCTCTGACTTCTAAAGGTGCTCTAGTGACAGATGCTAAGGGCCATGGTCTTGAGCTTCCTTGCAAGAGCAATTGACTCCCATACAAAGAATCAGTGGTTCGATCCCAGCTCAGACCAGGTTGGGTGCAGTAGGACCGGTGGGTTACATAATTATTCAATTATATTGAAATGCTAGGAAGATATTGATGTGTTGCATATTTGATCGTCTTTCTTCAGTACTAAATCATGACTATTAAAACGATTAATTTTGTAAATAATAATATATGCAAGTAGTAGAAAATGATGCACATCCCAGGTGATATTGTGGTCATGATGCACATAATTGTACACATTTGAATGCTCATTAACCAATTATAATCAAGCATTAAACATCCTGTGGTAAAAATCAGAATGTCATATCAAACATTATAACATACGAATAGTATATTACACATGGGGGCTCGCCAGGGATAGGAGTGAGGTTTTGGGGGGGTGAGTGTAACTGAGGCCAGCTAGCAAAGTGATATGCAGGTAAACCTCAATCCTCCGACTTCTAAAGGTGCTCTAGTGACAGATGCTAGGGGCCATGGTCTTTAGCCACCATGCTAGAGCAATTGACTCCCATACAAAGAATCAGTGGTTCGATCCCAGCTCAGACCAGGTTGGGTGCAGTAGGACCGGTGGGTTACATAATTATTTCCTTTTATTGAAATACTAAGAAGATATTGATGTGTTGCACACAGTATATGATCGTCTTTCTTCATTACTAAAACATGACTATTAAAACTATTAATTTTGTATATAATAATATATGTAAGGAATAGAAAATGATGCACAACCGAGGTGATAATGAACCGATGGCCATAATGCTAGACCCTGAAAATTATTGCACACCTTTGAATGTTCATCAGCCAATCAGAATCAAAGCTTTCAACACGCTAATGGTAAAAATATGAATATTATGCTGAACAGTATAATATGTGAATAGTAAACTGTAGTATTTTTAGTTTTCCTTATCATTTTATTGTAATACTAAATATATTATAATATATTATATTATTTTATATTTTATTATATTATATTATATTGTCCGGAATAGTTGGTGGTTCATTCCGCTGTGGTGACCCGCTGATAAATATGGGACTAAACAAAGGAAAAACAAATGAATGAATGAAATACTGACAAAATATCGATGTTTGGCAAATATAATCATCTTTCTTTAGCATCATTTCTATACACAGAGTAAGTGATTTGGCGCTGTTAGTTGTTTAGCTGTCTCGTGTCACCCTCCTGCACCGCAATATTTGGCTGTGTGGCATAAAGACAGGGTGATGGGTAATTATTATGATTTATTCAGGTGATTATGGGCTATGTGGCTTTTAGATGGAGCGCACAGATGGACAGGCTTGGCTGCCGCTGTGTCCGCGATCCGTTTGATGCCGCCTGTTTGGCCCATCTCAGATTTAATAGCACCACAGGAAATATGGGCACCTCTCGCTCTCTCTCGCAGGGCGTGCCGTTCCTGTCTGGAGTGCTAGATTTCCCTAAATGAGACGCCACGTGCCTCTTTTAGCGTAGCGTTTACATGAAGGGAGATGAATGGATATCGATAAGCCGTGAAATATTAACATGAGCACACTGTATGCAATTCTCCTCAGGATTAGACAATGGGAACTGGACAATGAGGCGACAGCTCGCAGTCAATAAGATTGATGTCATTTATCTGGATATATTCCAGTTACTGGAAACCGAAAAGCTGTTAGGCCTGTTTGAGGAGAGAAAAAATGCACAAATCTGCTTTTCTATTCAATTCAATCCATCTACAAGAAAGGCATTGTGTTAGACATTGGCAGGATGTGCTTGAACGAGCACTAAATTCCATCTGAACTAATTGCTAATTGGCAATTGACTGATTTGAATCCAATCTGCATGCTTTGTTCTCTTGTTCTTCTGTAAATTGGAGCCAATTCCTTATGAATGGCTTTGCAAAGGTTATAGGTTTGCGCGACAGGAATCGTTGTGTGATGGATAGAGGCATCTATCTTCATAGAATGCAGTCTTGTTCATTTATTATTTACTTCTTCTACAGAACCAGCAGGATCAGAACTACACTGTCCTCAAGACAAAATCCAACAGCATGACGGTGGACGGGCTTAAACCGGGAACTACATACATCTTCCGGGTTCGAGCACGTACTGATGGAGGATATGGGAACTATAAGGGAGAGATTGAGTTGGAGACGAGCCACGAGGGTGAGTGGAATAGCATCCCTTGTAAGTATGAAGTCAATCTAGGGCCAGATATACTTGCAAAATAAAAGAAAGTTTTGCAAACAAAAACTATTGAGCAAAAATAAATAAATAAATGCAAATCTCCAAAAATCGCAAAGCGAAAATAAATTTTTGCGAAAAAAATTATTTCTAAAAAAAAAAGAACTGCAAACGGAAAATAAAGTTTTGAGAAATAAAAATAAAATTTGCAAATAAAAAAAAACTTCAAATAAAAATCAAGCAGTGCAAAAAAACTTAAATATTTGCAATAAAAAGCTCTTTATGGAAAACATTTTTATAGCATTGCCTCATTTTGATTTACTTTTTAGGAAACAGTCAGTTTGGGACGCTGTTTTCACTTTGCACTTCACGTTTCTGCGCGTTTCACTATGTGGCACTGATTTGACAAGAAGGAAAAGTCAAGAGAACTTGAGCGCTTACAGCCCCTTGTCTAATCAGAGCCACAAAATGAAACACGCAGAAATGTGAAGTGCAAATAAAAAAATAAAAAGAAAGAATAAAAAAATAAAAGAAATGTGCAGCGTCGCAAACTCACAATATATCGTTTTTTTTTCGTCTTTTTTTTTTTTTCACTGTTTGATTTTTTTATTTTTATTTTTGCAGTTTTTTTTTGTGTGTGTGTGAAAATTTCGCTTTGGGATTTTTGCAGATTTGTATTTATTTATTTATTTGTTTTGCTCAATTCTTTATTTTTTGTATGCAAAGCTTTCTTATATTTTGCAAGTATATGGCCCTAAATTAACTTTGTGTGTTTGTATGTCCATAAACTACATGTATGTCCATAAACTATTCTAATCAACGCCCTGTTTGCACCTGGCTTTACATGTAAACAAGACAGACACTTTCCTGTTTATCTGGTCCTTTTATTTGTCTGTTTTGTCCACTTTTAGCCACTTTTCTGGGTTTTATGAGGGCAAAGGTTTATGGCAATTTAATGTATAAGTCCTTTCTGAATGTACAATCTAACACTGTGAAGTATGAGTGTGAAGAAATTAGATTTTTATTTATATAATATATATAATTATATGGAGAGCAGCAGTGGTGTAAAGTAACAATTTACAAATACTCACTACTGTAATTGAGTAGTTTTTCTCAGAAATTGTAATGTACTAAGTCGTTTTTAAAAATGTGTACTTTTACTTTCTCATGAGTACAAGACATGGGCAATTTATAATTGCAGCAAACTGTTTGGAAGCATTAAAAGTGTCCAAGAAGATGTCCAATCTTTACACACATTGGCCCAGAGACCGTTTAGATGTCACTGTCACTGATGAAAAGATGACGGATGTTTACTGTCTGTTGACTGAAATGGCCTTAAACACCCAGTAGGTGTTTCAACATGACATCAGATTGACATTGTACCTAACGTTGCACCGTCAATGTGCCATTTTGTTTGGAAATTAAAATTGGGTTGATGACAGAACTCAACGTCAAGCCGACATCAGTCTCCAACCTAAAATTAACCAAATAACAATGTCTAATGATGTTACAGCTTGACATTGTGTGGACATAACCACTATGACGTCCATCAAATGTTGGATTTTGGTTGTCATACCTGATGAATAAATGTCAGTATTTGACGTCAATGTAAAGTTTCACAAACTAATTTCAAGAGGAGCACGTGATATGGTTGTGCACTGCTGGCCACTCATCTGTAATCAGTAATAATCCAATCAGAATGATCCTAGCTTAATATAAATGGATCACTTTCTCTTTATTGCTTCATCTTCTGCAATCATCTTCTTTTTGTAAAAATCCCCCCTTCCACCCCAACTCCTCCTATTTCTCCCCTTCTAAAGGGGGAGCGATCGAGACCTACCTGATCTCGGATCCCCTGATATGCTTCTAGACCGGGCGGGAGCCCTGGGATCAAATATCTCCGAGCTCAGGGTTCTCTCCTGGGACAGCATGCCAAACCTGCTATAAATGCCAAGCATATCTACTGTAAGTGGGAACTCTTGAAATGATGTTGGGTTCAAATGTTGGCTGGGTGTTGGATTTTGGTCACTTTCTAACACAACCTAAAATTAACCAAATATCAATGTCATTTTTGGACATTAAAATAAAATTGTCCTTATATATATATGTATGTATATATATATATATATATATATATATATATATATATATATATATATATATATATATATATATATATATATATATATATATATAGATAGAAATTTTTTATAGCTTACTGCTTTATTGCAACCCATTCACAATGTTCTTTTTTTGAAACCCTTTTTATTTTCTGACTCTGTAAGTGTCACCAAACCTGTGATTTCACATTTGCGCCTGAATATTTTCATCTTTTCAAGGACATTCTGGCAACTCATTTTCCCCCCTCCAAACTGTAACCGGTGTCACACCAGTGTATTTTTTCATCACATGCCACTGATTGAATTTCCGATCTGCCATGCGTGTGGAAAGAGCCTGTGAAATATTCATACATGTGAACACGTTGAATTAGTCCCCTGAGACGGTGGAGGCTCGTGGCGCTGCGGTTTGCTCACTCGCAGAGGTGTTTGAAGTCTGAGCATGTAGATTTTCTGTCAGTGTTTCTCTGAAGTGTGAGAGTCGGCAGATGCCCCGCTGCGTTCGGCTCTTAGTTTGTGTAGCATATGGCGCACGCTTGCATTCTGTGCGCATGATTAGAGTGAGGTTTTTTTTTTTCTTAAATTGTTTGATTGGAACATCATCTGCTGAAATTCAGCTTATTTTAGCTTACTTTGTTCTCTTTGTTTCTGCACTGAAGTCTCTCGGCTATTTTTGTTTGTAATAGCATCTGTTGATGATGTCAGGATAGCTAAACAGGATGAACAGTTGAAGGGAAAATTATTACCCTGCTGTGGAATTTTTAATTCTTTATGAAAAAATATATTTTTTTACCCATTTTTTAAATGTAATAGTTTTAATCACTAATTTCTTTTGCATTGATACATGATATTTAAATAGATATTTAGCAAAATATGGTGTTGAAGTGGGTAGCACAATCGCCTCACAGCAAGAAGGTTGCTGGTTCAAGCCCCAGCTAGGGTGAAGTACACAGCAACTTTGTGTGGAGTTTGCATGTTCTCCCCGTGTTCACGTGGGTTTCCTCCGGGTGCTCCAGTTTCCCCCAAAAGAACAAAAAGGCATGCGGTAGCCATTTCCAGTCTGGTCTTTAGCTGGCCAAGCTGGAAAATGACGAGCTAAAACAAGCTATAACTAGCTTGGCCAGCTTAGTTTAAGCTGGTCATTTTCCAGTCTGATCAGCTAAGACCATGCTGGAAATAACTGGAAACCAGCCTGGAAATGGACAAACCCATCTACAATCAGTCTGGTCAACCAGCTAAAACCAGCCAACCAGCTTAGGTTGGTTTAAGCTGTTTTTATTTATTTATTTATTTATTTTTATCATGGTAGTATTATTCTACCCCCGAAAAAAAAGGCTTTCTTCAGAAGAAAATATATTATAGGAAATACTGTAAACAAATCTTTGCTCTGTCAATGAATAAAAAAAAATTAATTCCATTAGAGAATTAAAAAATAAAAATATCACAGGTGAGTTATTTATTACAGTATAGAGTCTCCAACTGTATGAAACTGTCTCCAACTGTATGCAATAGTATCAAAAATGTATGTGTTTATGTGGATTTTCTTACATTTCTAATTTTTTTAAGAGTTGGCTATTTGAGATTTGTAAATGACAATATAACGAAAAATTCATTTATTATATATATTTTTTTTAAATGCACAGCATATTTGCATATTTTTAAGTAAATTAATTTAGATTAAACTAAAAAAATAAAATGGCATAATAAAAAGTGTACTCTAGGATCTACATATAATTAGGTTCAAGAGTGCATTTAAATGATAAAAATATGTATTTATGTATTTATTTAAAAATATATTTTAATTAATTACATTAATATTTAACTCAAAAACCTGATGGTAATTAAAAACACTAAATTACCCCTGACTGAGCCTTTCATGCTTTTAAACAATTATATTACTCATTTTATGCACAAGAAAAAGTCTTCATAATTGTAATTGTTTTAATCTTGATCTCTTTCTATTAGACATGCTGGCAGTCGGAGATCCAAACCAGCAAACCATACTGGCTATTTCAGTGGCCGGCGGTGCAGTTCTCCTGGTCCTGCTTGTGGCCTGCTTCATTGTTAGTGGACGGTAAGAACAACAGAACATTCTTCTGTAATATTTCTCATTTTGCATATTCAGAATATGCCTTAATGTTCATCATTATGCAAACCCATAATAAAAAATATTGTGTATGATACAAAAAAATACAAAACAAAAGTCTATTGCAGACCTATCCATAGACAGACTGGGATAAATCAGCCCAAATCCGGTTTGTTTCGCCATCATCAAATCCATATAAAGGATGAAGCAACCATATTTCATTTAATTAAAGGCATAACCATAAACACAGAAAGACAGAGCAGAGCAAATAAGATGATGTCGTGCGTCTGCAGTCTGTGTATGTGTTTTTATGCGTGCATTTATACAAAATCAAAAGGACACAAAATTGTTTATGCGTCTTATTGTGTGTGGCGTTCTGCAGAGATGAAAGCAAACACTTGAGTGAACAATTGAGGAGACAGACATGAGGGAGAGAAGCAGAAAGCTGTTCGGCTGAGAATGAGGGAGCTAATGAAATGAATATGATAGGAAAGAGGGATCAGAGGAGACGAGGAACAGAAAGCAGAAAAATAAAGCGATTTTGTTGATGTGAAATGGTCAGAGCTTATCTTTGTGTGCGCATTTTTTGTCCTTCTTGCATTTATATTCATTTTAGATTTTTCAAGAAGTTTTAGCATTACAGTTGGGTTTCAGTAATCAATAAATGTAAAAACAATTTGATTGTTTTAATATATTTAATTCAGCAATCAATTAATCAATCAATCAATCAATCAATCAATCAATCAATCAGTGTTCAATAAGTAATTTTTTTTGCTTTTGTGATTTTATTGGAATAGATTTGTCATATTTTAAATTATTTTACTATTCATTTATTTACTATTTCTTTTTATATAGTTTTATCTTTGGGCAATTTATCTAAATTATGTTTACATGTAGTAAAATTTGTTGTAGTCAGCAATCCGTTTTTTGTCTGTTTATAAATGTTATACCACATAGGTATTTTATTTATGTTTTTATTTTTAATTTAATTTAATTTTATTTATTTTTTTATTTTATTTTGTTTTATTTTATTTTATTTTATTTTATTTTTTATTTATATTATTTATTTATTTATTTTTATAATTTTATTTTATTCTTTATTTTATTATATTTTATATTTTTTATTTAATTTAATTTTATTATATATATATATATATATATATATATATATATATATATATATATACATATATACATTTTTTTGTTTTATTCATTTATTTATTTATTATATTTTATTTTATTCTTTATTTTATTCTATTTTATTATGTTGCAGTTTGTTTTGTTTTTTATTTAATTTATTTAATTTTTATTTTTATATTTTAAACTTTTTACCATTTTTGTGGTGTATTTTTGTGTTGTTTTGTTTGTATATAAAGTATGGTTAAATGTAATACAACATAGGCTTTTTTTATTTATCATTTTAAAAAAGATTATTTTATTAAAAAATGTAAATATTTACATGTAATACCAATAGCTTTACATGTTGTTTTGTCTGTTTATAAATGATATTTAGATATAAAACCACTATTCTATTTTATGTATTTTATTTATTTTAATTATTTTTTTTTTCTTTTTAGCTATTATTATTATTATTATTTTTACAGATTTATATGTCTATTAAATTGGGCCTTTTGACCACGAATCCAATGTCTCATTAAGGCCAGTCAGGCAATCAGCTGCCCGGTTTATTCAGCACCAGCAATAATTTTACAGCTTATATTTTAATTTTGACTGCTACTTGCAATACTATTTCAAAGGCTGACTTAGTTGTGATTTTTCGACTGGTGGATGATATATGATCCAGTATGTTGTAACGCAGAAAGAGATTTCCGTCTGCTTTGCAATTTGTAACCCATAATGCACTGTGACAGAAAGGTCCCGTAGGATGCGTTATGTCGGCCAAGTTTATGCCTGCAAGTCAAAACCTCAGTTCTGCCACCTCTTATTCATGGTTTCCACCGCCTCCATCTCAATGCATGTGTGACTGCTTGTGGGAAAATCCTCATGGATGCAATAAAAACACTTTTGACGCTGATCTTGAATGACGTGTTTGGAGTGTGTCGTGAGGGCCAGTGAGTTGCAATGGTGAGTGAAGTCCACTAGCATTGGAGAGTGGCCTCCTCAAATATTAGCACCCTTAAAGTTTAGAAAGTTTTTTTGAGTCTTTTAATGCATGAAAATACCATAATGTGATGCAGATATTTAAGAAACATGCTAGGTGAACATGCTTTTTTATCTGAAAAACAATCATAAAGTCAGTTATTCTCTTTTGAAAATTCTGGGTCAGAGGGGTTCTCTTTGTTTTGGTCTTTGTAACTTCGCCTACTGCCAGTTTCACCAATAGGTTGTTTTCACATGACGTCATTAATGATCCGCGGAATTCAGATGAAGGGCAGGAATTAATTCTTCTAGGAATTTCTGTTACAACATCCAAATGTTTCTGTTCCATGTTGCTTTTAGTGGTTTAAATTGGCCAAAATAAGAAATGCTGAACAGCTTTTTTTAGCCTTCCAAAAGTTTTAGTCCGTAAAGAGGACAAAGGTAAAGAAACTGGCTGAAAAATGGAAGAAAAAGCGGCATGTAATAAACATTTTTTTCAATACATCCATGAGTACAAACTTTTTTTGAACGTGACAATTCGTTTGACAGCACCAATAAAGATTATATACAGGCCTAGGTATGTGTAAAAACATGTTAATATGTTAAATAAAAATCAGATACAAACACTACCACACACAAAATCCAGGAGAATATAAATAACGTACATTGCAATGTAATCACTGCAATGAAATCTCTGTCTTGTTTTGCAATAATCCAAGTCTTTACTGACGTTTCGGCAGATTAACGTTAACATCTATATGTGCTGCAGTGGTGAACGTTTGTTTAAGGTAAGTTCATCAACAGAACAATAAAAGAAATGCAACCCTTGCGACAAAACTACAGGATTATTATTGTGGAGCACTTTTTCCCCCTTACAAAAATATTTTGTGATGTCTGGAAGATATCTGCATGGGGAAATGAACTATAGTAATTTATAATAAACTCTTTAAAACTTGCCTCACAGCAAGAAGGTCGCTGGATCCAGCATTGGCTAAGTCAGTTTGAATGTTCTTTTTGCGTTCGTGTGGGTTTCCTCTGGGTTTCCCCCACAGTCCAAAGACATGCGGTACCGGTGAATTGGGTTGGCTAAATTGCCTGTAGTGTATGAGTGTGAATGAGTCCGTATGGATGTCATCCCAGAGATGGTTGTGACTGGAAGGGCATCCGCTGCATAAAACATGTGCTGGATAGGTTGGCGGTTCATTCCGCTGTGGTGACCCCAGATTAATAAAAGGGCCTAAGCTGAAAAGAAAATGAATAAATGAATGTTTCTGATCCACATAGTAAAGTATATAGTGTGTACAACTCTTTGTTAATGAATGCTACCGAATACTACTGAAGATTATTGAATATTTTTTTTAATTACTACAGTTGCTTTGTACCACACCAACAGTAAATTTACTAGGACAGTTTAATTCAAGTATTTATCTTTAGTATGCTTCTAAACACTACAATATTTACTGTAGTATTTTTAAATGTGACATAGCTTATACAGTATCTATCGCCTCGATGACAGGAAATATACTTTAGTTCAGAAAAAAACTCAACGCTCATGATATAAGAATCATGCCCAACACTGTGATTATTTTCTATTTATATCTGCTTTAAAATAAGGTATATTCACAAAAAAATATGGACTTTTCTCCATGTCTCCCATTGAGTTTTTTACTTCCTGCCCTCCATCTGAATTTTGCGCATCACCAGAATCACGTGATTGCAAACAACTTATTATATTTTCGGAATCCTGGGAAAACAGTATATTTCATTTGAGTCAAAAATACTACCTCTGCAGTATAGCAGCCTCTGAAACGAGACGCAGATTCACAGATTTAAAATCTATATGAAGGTGTTTTTAATTTGCAGACAAAATCGATATTTAGCAGTTTGCCGTGTAATGCACAGTTTACTTGCTGGGGGTTTTTCACCTCAAGCAAATATTCCGCCAAAACTAAATAATGTGAATTAGAGCAAAAGAAGTAACTGAGGCGAATTCCGCCTGTTTGCAGCAAATGTGTTGTGCATTTTGCCTCATTCACGTCGCCTGGCAGAAATTCACACATGTTGGTGCATTTGCACTGATTTCCTATGTAATCTTTTTTCTATTTACATCTATTTATATGCCAATGAAGTGAATATGACACGCGAATGAATCTAGTAAACTCATTGTCCATGCATCTATTTATGCACAAATTAATCAAATTTTATACGTGAATAAAGCGAGTAAACTCAAAATGCTCACGCTTCTATTTACGCACAAATAAAGTGAATTTAACCTGCCAATGAATCACATAAACTCAAAATAATCACTCGTCTATTTATGTGCGAATGAAGCATGTAAATTCAAAATGTTCACGCTATATACGAATTAAGTGAATTTGACGCGCGAATGAAGCGAGTAAACAATGTTCATTAATCTATTTACACGCAAGTGTAACGAATTTTATGCGCAGATAAATCAAGTTAACTCAATGTTCACGCATCGACGCACGAACAAAGTGAATTTGACACGCGGATAAAGCGAGTAAACTCAAAATGTTCACACGTCTATTTAAACATGAATGAATTGAATTTGACACGCGGATGAAGCAAGTAAACTCAAAATGTTCACGTGTCTATCTAGGTGCAAATGAAGTGAATTTGATGCACAAATGAATCGAGTACTTAAATTCTTACTTCCCATGTGGCATGGCTTCTGAGACCCAGCAGATGAGATGCATCTGTACTCTAAATAAGACTCCTTGAGGGCACGATGAATCTTGAATGTTCAGGCATGTATGTACACGCAAATTAAATGAATTTGATGCACGAATAAAGCGAGTAAACTCAAAATGTTCACACGTCTATTTACACGCAAACAAAGTGAATTTGACACGCGGATGAAGCGAGTA